CCCTTCCTTCCATCTGTCTTCCAGTCCTCCCTCCCTCCCTCCCTCTCCCTTCTTTTTCATCCTCCCTCCCTCCCCTCCTTCCCGCCATCCTTCAGTCCTTTCTCTTTCTTCCTTCGATTTCTAAATCCTTCCTTCCTCCCCCTCACCTCCCTCCGTCCCTCCCTCCCATCCATCCATCTCTCAATCCTCCCTCCCCCTCCCTCCATTTCTTCAAACTCCCCTTCCTTCCTTCCTTCCTTCCTTCCTTCCTTCCTTCCATCCATCTTTCAGTCCTCCCTCCCACTCTCTCCCTTTTTCATCCTTTCTCCCTCCCTCCCTTCCTCTCCCTTCTTTTTTATCCTCTCACTCTCCCTCCCTTCCCTCCTTTGATCTCTTATTCCTTCATTCCTTCTTTTCTTCCTCCCTCTCATCCCTCCCTCCCTCAATACTTCTTCCCCACCTTCTTTCCTTCAAACTCCCCTTCCTTTTCTTTCTTCCTTCGTTCCTTCCATTCATTCATCCATCCATCCATCCATCTCTCGCACCTTTCTTTCCTCACCCTCCCTCCCGTCCATGTCCTCCCCTCTTTTGTTCAAAACTAGCAAAAAGCATCATAAACTGAGCTCACATGACCTCAGGATGCCCCCACTGGCCATAAAGGCCAGCCATTTGCCAAGCACCTGAATTGTGGCCATGGGATTGTGGGTGTGTGCGTGTGAAGCCATCCTAACTCCAGAACCAAATCCTAAGTAGCTTTCGGGAGGCCCATCATAACTTCGACCAGTCACTAAGTGAGAGGTCGTTAGTGGAGGACTAACCTATACCTGTTTTCTACGTTTGCCAATGTTTTTTTTCCCTTTTTTCCTGGCTGAACTGAACGGTGGTTCTGCCTCTGGATGCAGGAAACATCTGGCTGCACGCTGGGAGCACACAGCAGGCGATTCCCTGCCTTTTCCAGATGTTTGGGCCTTTCTGATCTGAACATCTGTTTCCTTTTGGCTACAGAGGCCGACAGTTCCGAAGAGGATTCGGACGAATGCCGCTGCCTGAACGGACGCTGCGTCCGCACCCAGCAGGGTTCTGTGTGCGAATGTCCCACCGGCTTCCAGTTGGACAGCACTCGCACCCGCTGCCTGGGTAAGAGGGCTGGGTGGAGGGCTCCCCCGCTCCTGGGCCACCCTGAGATTCTCGGCCAGGTGAACCCTTGCGAGGATGTGGCAAGCGAGCGTTTAATTTCATGCTCTCAGGATTAGGTGGAGCCTCTGGATAGCAGTGCAGTCTATCTTAGGATGCCAGCAAGCAGGCTCCACCCTTTGTGGCACCCTGGTCACGGATGCATCAACTTACAATCACAATTCAGCCCAGAATTCCCATTGCTAAGTGAGACAGTCGTTAAGTGATTCTTGCCTCATTTTACCATCTTTCTTGCCACCATTGTTAAGTGAATCAGTGCAGTTAAGAAGATGGATGGATGGATGGATGGATGGATGGATGGATGGAAGGAAGGAAGGAAGGAAGGAAGGAAGGAAGGAAGAAGGGAGGGAGGGAAGGAGGGAGGGAGGGAAGGAAGGAGGGAGGGAGGGAAGGAAGGAAGGAAGGAAGGAAGGAAGGAAGGAAGGAAGGAAGGAAGGAAGGAAGGAAGGAAAATAGTAATAGCACTCTGACTTAGATACTTCTTCGCAGTGCTTCACAGCCCTCTCTGAGCAGTTTGTTAGACTCAGCCTCTGGCCCTCAACAATCTGGGTCCTCATTTTACCGACCTAGGAAGGACAGAAGGCTGAGTCAACCTCGAGCCGATCAGGATCAAACTCCTGACTGTGGACAGAGTTTGCTTGCAATTCTGCATTCTAACTGGAAGGAAAGAAGGAAGGAAAATAGCAATAGCACTTAGACTTATATACCGCTTCCCAGTGCTTTCCAGCCCTCTAAGCGGTTTACAGAGCCAGCCTATGGCCCCCAACAATCTGGGTCCTCGTTTGACCCACCTTGGAAAGCTAAGTCAATCTGGAGCCTGGTGAGATTCGAACTGCCAAACTACAGGTGCAGCCGGCAGTCATCAGAAGTTGCCTGCGGTACTGCACTCTAACCACTGCGCCATCCTGGACGCTGCAATGGTTGTAAGTGTGAAAAACGGTCCTAAGTCCCCTTTCCCCCCTCCCCCAGGGCCACCGTAACGGTCACTAAACAAAACGGTCGTAAGTTGAGTACCCGTGAGCAGGATATTGTTTCTTTTTCTCCCCAAGGCCGAAAACGGAAGAAGCCTCCTTCATCCATCCTGTGACTTCTTCCTTTCCTTTATAGATATTGACGAGTGCCAGGAGCTCAACCAACGAGGACGTCTGTGCAAAACCGAGCGTTGCGTGAACACCAGTGGCTCCTACTTCTGTACCTGCAAGTCCGGCTACTCGCGGTCCTGGCCACACGGAATCTGCGTTCCTCAACGATAGCGTGGCGTGCCGACTACGGCGTGGAAAGATGGTGGGGACACGTGTGACCATCCTTGAGTGCCCTCCCCGGTCGTGGGGTGCTTCTCGCTGTCCACCATCAGAAAAACTGGACCTTGGCCTTTTGGAGCAGCCTTTTGGGGGGTCTAAATTCCCCAAGGCAGTTCTCACTTTATTATATGAACCTTTTAAAAAAAGAAAGAAAGTTGTACCAGCTACTATGTGGGGCATTGATTTTTTTTGCTATAGAATTTTATACCTATTTCCGTTTCTGTTCCTTTTTAACCCGCTGGATTTGTTAGGGTTTTGTGTGTGTTTTTTTTTTAAAAAAAACAAACAGTTTGCACTTGTTTCTATAGGATTCAGAAATTTAAAAAATAAATTCTTTTGTACATAATAGACATTGGTGGAAGGAAAATAAAAAACGGAGACTTCAAAGTATTAAAAAAAAAAAAAGGAAATTGCCATACAGATTTGACGGTGTCTGATTTGCTCTCGGCGGCAGGAGAAAGGAAAGGTTTGATTACAACATGTAATCAATAAAATAGTTCTATGGTCTTTTTCGAGTTGCCAACAGAAAGGAACGGGGCAGCAGTACGGCAGCTTGCAAAACCGAAACTGCATTCCATAAATGTTTTCAGAGATAGTAACTAGGTGACCGAAGTTTCTGCCGTGCAAAATTCTAACTGGAGAGCATGACTGATGACTCTGGGCTATGGATGTGTCCCATTGGAGAATATGAATTACGATACACCCAGGGGGTGGGGGGGGAAACCAGGGTCAAGGGTGACAATGAATGATGTGCCGGACAGTTTAACTCCCAATAAATCCTTTTGAAGTTTTGGAAGTTTGGCTTGAGACTCAGGATTTAAGTGTGGGTAACTGCCGGAATCCTGACACAGTGGAGCATTTTAACATTTTCAGGCAAAAAGCACGTTTATCCCTACCCAAATATTTATATTTTTAACCATCAATCCCACATCTCTGTGATTCTATGGGAATGCTGATATTTTTTTAAAAAAGTTATGGTCCTTTGTGGACAACTGAGCTTTGTGGGTTCCTATCACACATCCCCATGGTTTGCTCAGTTCATCCAATTTTATGAATTTGCACAAAATACTACAACTACAGTAGAATCATGAGTGGTGCAGGTGGCCTAGAGGTGGCGCTCTCCCCTCACCATCAGGAGGCTGTGAGTTCGATCCTAGGGAGAAGCAGATATTTCTCGGCACAATGAGAATATATCTGCCGAACAAAACTCTGCATTGGTGACAGGAAGGGCATCCAGCCAGTGAACATAAAGCTCCATTCAGTTGTACAGACTCCACTCCGCAAGGGTTTATGGCATCATTAAAAGAGGATGATGATACAACTAGGATCATAGCGCTATATCACTCAGTATATCACATAAATACAAGTTTTTTATAGTCAAAACTTTCTTCTACACACAAAGAAAAAGACTTACAACCACAACTCGGCTCCAAATTTTCATTGCTGGTTACAGCAGCTGTAAAGTGAGTTTTCTCCCATTTTACAACCTTTGTATCACAGTTCTTAAGCAAATCACTACAGTTGTTAAATCACTACATTCCACAGCACACCCTATTTGACATAATCATGGGTCCAGCCGCTTGCATAAATCAAGAGATATGAATTATTAAAAGTACAAGCATGCAAGGGATGTGGTTGTTAGAAGGCGGGTAAATCTGGGTATTTTGCTCTAGAATCCTGAGGTCAAAAGAGTAAAATTCTCCCTCTTATCTCAGTTGCATCCTCCTCTTAAGAATTTGAATTAAATTTAGGATTAGAACTAGGAAGAGGGAAATGTATGCTTCTGGGGGAGGAAAATGTAGTTATTTTAAAAAGCATGGCACTAAACGTAGAAGTTCTCCACTCTTCTACTCGTTGTAGAATACCTTATGCCACCAGACTTGAAATTCTAGAACTAGAAAACCTTGAATTACCCCGTCTTCGGTCTGATTTAAGCATGGTATATAAAATCATACATTGCAATGT